CGGCGGCCGTTTCGGCACGCCCCCCGACATGAGGACGTCTCGGGTCGTGTCGCGGAACGAGACGCAACAACTCCCCCTCCCTCCCCTCACGCGCACGTGCAGCCGCCGCGCACTGTCTCTGGAACCGCCTGGAGCCGCTCCGCTGCGCCGCGTCAGTGCACCGCTCAGTGCACGGTCCCGCCTGGAGCGGCGGCCAACGCACGGTGGTCGGCCAAGCAACAGACGGCGGCCAACACACGCTATACCACCAAACAACAGGCGGTGGCCAACGCACTCTGGTCGGCCCAGCGACAGGCGGAGACGGCAGAGGCGGCGGCCCCGCGGCACGCGTCGCTGCAGTCCGCCGGCACAATCAGTGACCGGCATGCTCGGAATCGCAGACCGGAAGGCAGGCGAGTCCGGCCCGCCCAAAATGCGGCTCCAGGCAGTGTAAGCCACAGATCAACGCGTCGTTAGAGGCTTCATGTTACGAGTTATTAGAGGTGTATACAGCAACATAGCGAATTTCAGCTGCACAGCTAACGCAGCCGCCCGCAATAGTTGTAAAACGGTTACAAACAGGAACGTGCTGATTCAGTCTTGTGGCGCGGAATAGTTTCAGGTCAATAGACGGTGCACATTTACCCTGTGCGCTACTCCGCGTTAGCCCGCGATACGCCTGTCCGACTCAGACCGGAGCGCACCACCGTTCATTTTCCGTCGGCCCGGCCCGCCCAGTGACCGGCCCCGGTCGGCGGGCGCTGATCGATTCAGTCCGCCGCGCCGGCAGCGCTGCAGGGGCGACATTGAAGCACCGCGCGGAATGGCCGCCACTCTACGGACAACTGCACAGCGAAACCGGACACAGAACCTACAAACATGGCGGGCCAGCCGCCCGACGGCGAATTTAGATCCGCCCGACAGGTTCGGTCAGGTTTGTTGTCGGTGCGCAGTTGCGACATCCCCGCAGCTGGCGGGGAGTTTCGGCGAGCGTGTGCTCCGCTCCGTCGCAGCGTCGCCGGACAACGGGCATCATTCCACGAGTAAACAAACATTCCACTGGCGGCCGGGCACCTCAGAGGACCGCCAGCAGTGGCCGAGCTCCGGCAGGACCGCGTGCGCGGCCGTCAGGCGAGGGACCGCACGCCGGCAGCATAACAGGCTGCACGGCGGTATATGGCACGGTCCGCGCCCTTGAATGGGCTCGGCAGGGTTGGAACGAAAACAACGGCACGACGGTCGGCGGCAGTGGAGCCACCAGCATACCAACTGACCAGGTGCTGACCGGAATCCGAAATTGAGTCGTACATAGGATTCTATGGGATGGCTCCTAGTATGCTACCACTGCGTAAATAATCGTAGGTATCATAGCCATCGCCCAGTCCCATGTCACTGGTTGAAATGCCGAAAATTCCTCATGGATGATAGATAATAGTGACAGTGTAGCTCAGGTGGTGCAATGTCAGCATGCCAGGCCCATGAAACTCCGTAGAATGCATTCACGCCAAGCCAACAAAGGTCTACCAAGCAGCAATAATCCCGCCGACAAACGACTAACAGGACAGAGCCACAGCTCACTGTGGGTGGTTCCCCCGACTTCAGTTGGGTCGGTGACGCGGCTCACACCAGCGCCGCGGCCAAGGAAACGTCCGTTTCAGCTTCGGTTACCCACGCCATCGATAACCGATCGCCACTGTCACTTTCACAATATTCGAATATCACCGGTTATTTGTTCAAAACAAATTATTCCAGCGAGTCTCCTTCGATAAGTAGTTTTGGAGACCGTTCTGCTCAGCAACCGCGCGTGGTGCAATAATGCTGCTATGGTTCCCCACTGACATACGTTGGAGAGCGTTTGCGTATTATATGCAAAGAGGTGTATAAATCAAACCACCAGATACATTTCTACAAGAGATAACGAACGGACACCATATGGAGTGGCAATACGAGCAAAATTAAAAACACACACACTTCTTACATGGTTCAAAACCAGACAACAATCGGTAAAATCAAGACAAAAAGAAAACGGCAAAAAGGAAGATTCAGTCGTGCCCTGAATCACTTCCCGATATTTATGTAATCTCATTCAAGCTTTCCTATCAATGTAATAACGTCATAACAAGCACCCGTCTCTGGCAATGTTTGCATCATCACCCTTCCATTGTTCTAATTTACAGGCCTAGCGGCGCATCGAGTTCTACCGTTATTTTCGTTTTCCACCGTTTGACACATAAATCATGAATAATTCATGCCTAACTACGGAAGGATGATTTTCCTTGACACGGAAAAGCAGCAAAATGGACAACGCTGCAAAATCGGCGTTTCCATAAAGTAAATAATAGTCTATTATATCAGTATCTATCAGAAGAGAACCGAAGTCGCGACGGATTTTCACACGTCTTTCAAAACAAATACGCAGGGGTGGTGCCGCTGAGGATCTGGGTACTCACCAGGTACCGCAGGTGCATGTTGATGCTGTCCCAGTGGTCGGTCAGGCTGCCGTCCACCTCGCCTGTGTCGCCGTGCTCGAAATACTCGCACACCAGACCCTCGGTCATCTTCTGCTCGACACAGGCGATATGGAACCGGCGTCAACACCGATACTACGATATAAACATTCATACAGTAGAATTTATACAGGCCTTTAGATCCTCGTAATCATCGGGTAGGAGTTAAAGGGCAAATTACGCTATTAATGGCGAATAACCGTTCTTAGATGTTGACCTAAAAAAGAACATAATACAATGTAAACAAAAACACGATTCATCTGACCATCTCGCGACAGTGAGTTGCCGTCGATTAAATTAACAATATAATCATTTCGGACAATTAATTCAATCTGTCACCCTGTCCGGTCTCGCCGCGCCCCGTCCGAGTGCCGCGGGTGCTGCCGGCGGGGCGGCGGACCCACCTTGATCTCGTCCTCGGTCAGCTCGACGGCCACCTGCTCAAGCTGCACGTCGTCCATCGAGTCAGAGTCGTAGTTGGGGTCGCCCGAGTCGATCTCGGCCGCGTCCAGCTCGGCGCCCGGCTTGCCCCAGACGCCCTTCCCGCCGGCACCGCCTGAAAACGGCCACAGACGGGAACAGGGCTCAGCCTCACACGGCTCGGACTCCACAGGACTGGAGGACTTTGTGACAGACATGGGGTGACAAGTCAGCTGTCATAGTGGCTGTATTTAGTGCAATTTGGTGGAATGGATGTGATTTCATCCAGCTCTAACCAAGGCACTTTGTCTAAATATTCACCAATACAAAGGAAACATGTGCATTGCATGCCACCCTTGCCAATCAAATCACTATCTGCATCTGTTGATTTATGCTGTGATTCTGAGGAGGTATGGTGATATAGCATAAGCCATATAGCCCCATATACTGTTATTATTATATCAGAGTTACTTGAGGCATTCCATCCAGTCTGTTTGACAAAAATCTACTCCTGGAACTGTAAAAGGCCAAAATGTGACTGGATACCTGCAATCCTCAGCATAGCATTGCTTTCACTTCCATGAGTGTTGGTGGTGGCAAGGTAGGATCAAGACACTGAAATGAAGACCCCCTGACATCAGACCAGGTTGTTCCTGTTTCCTTACACTAAACTTGGGTAAAAAGTTGCAGGATAGCTGAAAAATCACTCACCTTTCTTTGGGAGGCCTCTTCCCATGCCAGCCCTAGATCTCCTGCTGTTTTTAGAGAACTTTGAGGGTACCCTTGTTGGCTGAGGCTCCGAAATAGACACAGAGCGGGTTCTCTTGGATTTTCCCTTTCCATGAGCCAGCTGCTCCTGCACTGACTTGCTTTCATCAATCTGAAGATCATCAGCTGATGCTGATGCTTTGGGCGAGTCCCCAGCCTGGGCAGGCTCAGTCTCCATCTTCGGCTACTCTTATGTGCTTGTGGCAGACCTAAAAAGTAAATGAGCATGTCTATAATTTTCTGAAATAAAGTGAACAGCCATACACAAAACCTGTTGTAAATTTTGGTGCACAAACTAGGCCAATACAACTAGGGGCTATTCAGAAGAACAGGTTATAACAAGATCACTGAATCAATTGTAGGTACATTCTTCCATTTATCCTGGTGCACTCAGCAAAATTGTGATAATTAATGGTCCCTCTACGTTCCTGTCTCATTTGACAGTTGTGTTTACTGCAGATGCATATCTTTTCATTACATTAGTAATGACACAAAAACAATCTAGACAAATGGGTCAAATCAATGATGATAGCTTACCTACAAGCCCTTTTCCCAATTCAAATTCACCAGGGCTAGTGGAGCTGGAAAAAGGCACCCCGTACGAAGATTGAAGATTCGATAACTTCACTTTGACTTGACTTCAAAACAAAACAAGACTGAAGACTGGCGAGACCGAATCAGTGACCCACAATACGCCTTGACCCGTAACTTGTACGGCTCAGGCTCAGATGCAAAGCGATATTTAGCTTAGTCCAAACCAAAGACACGACCAAGAAGATAAAAATTCAGAATAATCAAGCAACTCCTCAACCACCGCAACGCCACCAAGACCCTTCCCACGCCAGATTCTCTGCGCATTACCTCCGCAGATGTTGCGAAATACTTTGTTGTTGTCTAGTTGGCATGTGTTATTGTGAAATACCACTCAGCTGATGACATGCCTTCCTACTCCATAAAACCTTTAATAAGGAAATTCAAGTAATAGGCACAAAAAGTGTTGCGAATGCTTACAAAAAAACGCTTAAAATATACCTTACTAGCACTTATTCTGGAAAATATAAGAAAAACTATCAGTGACGAATATATGTATTTCGCATTCTTCTCTTTTTCTTTTAAACAATAAAATAAATGGTGGCGTAAAACATAACAAAGTACCAAAGATGTTTTAAAAACAAGGGTTAAAAACCAAAGAAACAGAGAAAAACAATTAAATTCAGCTTTCAATATGACCTTGAAACAACAGCCAGCTGACAAAAATGAAAGAAATGAAGAACAAAGCAAATTTCATTTAGATGCGCCACAGTTGTATGCAGTTAGTGAGCTCCATACAGCTGATCTTTTGTAATTTCTGCCTAGCGAATTGTAAATCTATTGTTGCGTTGGAGAGGAATCGGGGGGTTGTAGGAGGTAGGAGGTGGCTCGTCTTCCTCGGTCGTTCCGTTCGATCGGCCCGTGAGAAACCGGAAGTTCAACTTGTTGTTCAGATACACTGTGGTTTGATCCAGGTCGCTCGATTATCGGGTGATGAATTAACGTGAAGTGTTTCATAGACACAGTGTCTCATAACAATAAAGCACCGACGAATGTTTCGACTGCATCAACACGTGTGCCATTCAGCTACTAAATAATGCAGTCATTCTTTGGAATGTGAACATACTCTTCTGAAGTGATATCTGCAGTCTGCACCCTGTTAAAGCTGCATATTTCACAAATTACTTGGACATGGAGAACTTGAGTAAGTATGATTGTCATGTCTCACAATCTGAATCTAAATCAATTACCTACCTATCTATTGATCTTGCTATCATTACTGTGTTATTTGGCATGACTGGGAAATATGTGCTTAGCAGTTCTTATGTAGGAAAAGAAGCAGACTGTGAAGTGTGTGCCATAAACCAAAACTGTTCAAAGCTGAGTATGAAAATACATGGCTTGGGCTGTTAAACATTTACATAAATACCTACCTATCAATTTTCAGGTGATGCATGCATCAGTATATCATATGAATAGTTGCATACCTTTCACCATGACAATTTGCAGGTGCACCTCACCCATACCAGCACCTGGAGCGGGAGCTGGTTGTGGACGGTGCCACCTTCAGGTACTTCGACTTGGCTGGCCTCAATGACCCACGATGTGGTAAGTCCCTGCTGGGCAGGGAATGAGGAAAAAAGTTGCTGATCAGAGTAGTGCTGCTGCGTTTAGTTTATATTATTTAGTTAGCACTTATACCATTCCTTTTCTATCATTAACTCAGAATACCTCATCAGCAAATGCTTACCTAAATGAAGCATTACATTGATATTATTTGGATAAGGCACATCCATTATAATTTTGTTAAGCCTACTTCATTGGTGGAGGACATTTATGGAGCTTATCTGTTTACTCAACTACCAATCTAATGGCTTGTTTGGAGGGTTGCGCTGTTTCAGTTGGTCTGGCCCAACCATCATCTGACCTCACACTGGTGACTGGCCCTCTACCCCACTAGCAGATGGTGTGGGTTGGCTGGCTCGGCTGGTTCCACCCCAGTTTGGCCCCTTGGGCGCTCGCTGTCTGCTTCCGACCGGTGCGACGCCACCGAGGCGATCTGAGCGGGTTATCGTATCGGTCGGTCCTCCGGCTCCAGGGGCGCGGTCTACGACACCGCGGCCGCCGCTGAACCTTGGTCATGGCTCGTGCTGGCGGAATGGGTCGGACCAAGAGCATGGGCGAGCGTGGCCGGGCTCTGGTCGAAACGGGATTATGGGTTGTGCCTTATCGCTGTATGGATCTTGACGCTGCTGCAGTCTGCTGTTATAAGTTTTAAAAAATGTTGATTGTGAAATATTTTACTTGTCGTTCTCTTCACAAGAGCTGGTTATTACTTATTGGTTATGCTGGCGTCTCAGGAGTTGATGCTCTGCCAAGTACCAATTTGATACGATTTACGGCGATTTTCAACCCTATCGGTACTTTGTTACTGAAGAAGATCAAGGAGTTTTGACTACCTACTTCTGCAACAACAATAAATAATACGAAGCTAAAATTCGTAGCTTGAGATGCCATACATTTCCTTGACTTGCATAGAGTTGAGGCGGCTGCTTCACTGGCCAACTCAATTTGGCATCAGATATGGTGTGGTTTCATCCGTTGCTGGTAGCCGGTAGGCACATTCTCGTTCGTGACTTTCTGGTGTCTGGTGGTGTGATCGTTTCTCCCTGCACCCCATTGTGGTTGCGCTGCCTGGACCGTCTCTGTGCAGAGCTCTCTGTTGCTACCACCGCTCCAGTTGTGTGCCGCCAGCCGTGTCTCAGACGGAGGCATTGGAGTGACTTCAGTCAGGATCCTGTTGGACGAAGCATTTTTAGCGGCTACCGATACCCCGAGTGGTTTCAGTTACCATAGAACCCCCTTTGTAGCTCCACACAGGAGGTAAACGATCGGCAAATGCACCGTGACATCACTTCATCGGTAGTGAGGTCAGTGACCTTCGCCAGAACTCCGAGAGCGGCCGATGTTTGAGTGCCGTGGTCAGATGGGCGTGGGCACAACCGACAGCACGAGGGTGAAGTCTGCTAGGCGACAGACGATATTTAGTGAAATGAAATCTCGTGGTACCTATTCATTGTATTCTGTGATATAACTAAACAAATGAATAAACTTCACGTTTTTTTCATACCCATGCTTATCGATCACTGAAGCTGGCTGGGTCGATTTTATATTTGTGTGTCCGCTGTTATTACCAGTTGAGAGCTGAGCGCGCCAGCTCTGTGCGTGTGGCCCGGTTCGGGAACTGAGGTGGGGCGCTCAGCCTGGGGAGTAAGGGCGCGTGCGAGGAGCTGAGGCTATCGTCCCGGCTACCTGGGGAGGGGAGAGGTCCTGTCGGGTGGACGGTCCCAGCGACACTATCAGACCCCCTGTCGTTATGTAAGGACCGGTCCGGCGGACCCCCCCCCCCCCCCCCGGTCCCCTGTCGTGGGGACAGATATCAATCCGTAACAACGCTGTTTGAGTGGAAGGGGACAACACGATTAGGAGCTCCGTGAGAGGAGGGTAGGATAGCTCAGCGATTTGGTGGCCATGAAAAGTCACAGGTATGAATTGAAGCTCCTGGATTATTTCCGCCTGGCGCCTCGTTTTCCTGTGGTCCGTTATCTGTCAAAAGAAACACACATTCACAGACGTTTCAACCCCTCTAGGACACAGCCATTTATGGACCATAAAAGATTGTAGTCTCCGACTGCGGTGCTGCCGGGTGACACTGTCGTGTTTGTGGGCGTACGGCTGCTGATTGATGCTGTTGCCACCAACGCCAAAACCGCTCCGAGCCTCTTGCCTCGGCCGTGGGACGCGCTGTTGCGCGCGCTGGACCACACGGTGGTGGGACGGCTCGGGGTCGGGCTGGCTAGGGACGTCGTTCACATGCATTCCTCCTGATCTGGGCGCAAAATGACCTCCCAGTCGGCGCGCCCCTAACCCCCAACAAACAACCATTCCTCCTGATCGGTGCAAACCATGATATTGCGTGGTAGCCACGGTAGCGCTGTTAACCCGCGCCCTGCTGGGGGGAGGGGAGTGTTTGAACACCCCCCTTGTGGTTTTTCGCGAATATCTCAAAAACGGCGGCGCTCCGCGCCGCCGTTTTTGGTACACCTTATCATACATCAATTCTACACATGTTGCGAAAATTTCAGACCAAGGTCATTCAAGGTCAGGTCACCAGGTCACTTGAAGTGACCTCACCTCATAAAAACTTTCAATGTCTGTCATAGCTACACCGAGTGACCGATCGGTTTGAAACTTTCAGCGATTGCTAAGAGCAATAGCATGTACAAAATGTATATCTCAGAATTTTGATATCGATGACCTAAGGTCAGGTCAATTTTGCGACCTCCCCATTATAAGTCAATGGGAGAAAATTGAAATGCGCCTCTTTTGGATGAAAGACATTATAAACACTCCCAAACACCGAATTACAAGTGGTTTAGACACACTGAACTTGAAAATGGTGTCCGTGACCCTTGTTTATGCCCTGAGGTCATCTTAGGTCACGAATGGTATCTAACAGTTTTTCGCAAATAACTTTTGATAGAGGCATGCTAGAGCGATGAAAACGCCTTAGATGCGTTCAGCTCGACGATACGGATCGACTGATATGCAACATGACCCTTCCCGGTCAGGTCATGACCTTGACCTGAGGTCAAATTTTCAAGTTGACCTTTCAAGGTCAAGTTATAGTTCATTCGATGCGTCTTGACGAGATGAACACGATGCCGGTAAAAGTAAGCTCGTACAAGGCTTGGGTCAAAAGTTATTGCAGAAAAACTGTTTTAGAAAAAATCGGCTATTTTTGCAGTTTTTGCCCCCTGCAGGCAAAACCGTTGACGTTAGGTCAAATCTGAGAGAATTACTCAGAAAGGGCGTTAATAGGGCTATCGAATGCGCTTTTCCGCGGCGCTGTAGCTTTATTGGTTCCCGAGTTATGCGTCGGCTTCTTGGAAATTTTCGACATTCGACCTGGAAATCGGCGAAATTTTGCCTTCAATGACCTCTGGTGACCTGACCTTTGACCTGACCAAAAAATTGACTGAAGTGATTTCGTCATTATTTTTTACGCTCTTTCGAACGCCGCCTTCCGCGTATCGCTACGTGGCCCAGGAGCCGAGTTACAAGGGGGGGGGGGTGTTCAAACACCCCCCCCCCCCAGCAGGGCGTGGAAATCCAGGACCCCCAGCAGGGCGCGGGTTAATTTGGTGGATTCCCGGCCCAGTGCGTGCTGTTTAGTTTGGTTAGGAGGAGACTGGAGTAAAGATGGTGCGGCGTCGGGCGTAGTTGTCTGTTTCTGGCCCCATTGCGTCAGGGTCCGACCCTGGCGGCTGGCTGGATGGTGGGAGGGGAGTCGGACGGTGGTCGCCTGCCGCCGGGGGTGGCCCCCGACTTCCGGCCCTCGGCATTACCCACCCTGCCCGTCCCGCGGTCACTGTCACTGTCTGCGGAACATCGACCGCTAGTTGTGGGTGGGCTGGATAATACCGACGCCATAATCAGTTTCCTTATCGATATTTCATGGTTTTAATTCGTCTCTCATCGGCCTCTAAATAGTGTGCCTTTTGACGCCTGGTCGGCATGTCACATCAATTAGTTGGCACCTGAGCGAATGCGCCGTATCTGCTGCCCGCACCTGTGTCGACTTTGTCAGCTGGGCCGCCGGACTACCTGATGGCTCGCGGAAAATGACATTAATGACCCCTGACGAGAAGGGCGCCAGGCATTCATGCCGGACTGTTCTACGCCTTATATAATATCAGGCAGATTTAGTACCGAAAACGTTATATTTGTTAAATTAGTAATGGGACATAGATTGCCGCACATTTCCGTTGTAAACTACCGCTGCCTGAAGTTCTGACATGCAGTGCTTTGCGGCTTAGTCTCATTGGCGGTGTCGCCAGTCCTCTTTAGTATAGCCTGCCTTTATCCATGCGCGAATCATACTGGAGAACCTGAGTGCGTCAGCTTTCAGAAGAATCCAAACAAATCATCATTGCATATTGCGTAATATTTGTAGGTACCTTTGTTGTATCTGTTGGTATCCAGTACGGATGTCCTCGGCGTGTGCGTATTGTGCTCGGTGCTTTGTGTATGGGCCATGGGGCCACCGCCACGTCGATGGTTAATTTTCCGTAACTCGCCTGTCATAGGAACATTGGCGGGCAGTATGAGCTTCCAGTGTCGACGGAAGTGTGCGTGTACAACATTGCCGTACTTTGGCTAGCGCTGTTGTCGTTTTGGACGTCCCGCCCCGGAGTTGTGATAGCAGCTGGCTGCGATCGAACTGTTATTCTTCACTCTGTTTCGCCTGCTGTTACTTTCGGCGTCTCTCGGCCCTCAACTCAAGCCAGGCTCGGCTAAGCAGTGATCATGAATAGGAAGAAACGAGACATTTGCACGTAGTCATCAATTTTCTAGGTCCAAGGAAAGAATGATCTACGGTGAACCAGTCCAGACGCCTGCCCCGCTCCAGCACAGGTCACAACGGAGGCCGTGCGGTAAAGTGTTGACCACACCTGCCACTCGTTTTGTCACTGCTAGCAGGTCGAGAGGAGGGGCGTGCCGCTGCCTGTATTGTATAGCGCCCCATCGTGAGCTGGCCGCTGCATCGGTAGTGCATATTCGCAGCGAGTAGGACAACGCCTGGGCATGATCTGTGTGAGCTCATGGCTCTTGTTGGCTTCGATTTGATGCATTCATCACAACACAGTAACTCTTTTCTTTTTTCAATAATTCAACAGCCTCATTCGTTCTCAGTTCGTGGTGTTCATTACACGCGCCCGCTCGAAGACCAGTGACGCTCCTGACTACGTCTTATCAGGACAGCAGCAAAAACTTATCTGTGCCACGCTTATCTCGAATACCATGCCGGTAAAAAAGTATCCTTGACGTTTTGACCATGTTCTCCGATGCGACAGACTGAGTGCGTCACGCGACTGAACTCTGTCAATGCTATCAGCCATTGTGCGGCCACGGTGCGGCGCTCCTGGCATCTCCCCCTCCCCAGCTCAGGGGTCTGGTCTGGACCGTGTGATCTGCGCCGTCGAGTTGCCGGGACCTCGTCCTTCGGCCTTCTCCCCTCACCGCACCTTGCCGTGCCGCCGGGTCAGTCCATGAGACGGTCGGACCGGGAATGTACCGACGCTATCGAGTCTTCAGCATACTTCTGACAGCGGCCGGCGTCATAGAGCGGACAGACGGCGGCGGTACGCCTCGATTTCTACGACATGGAGAATGTTTATGAATTGGTCAGGTCAGCATTCCGCAGGGCCATGTTTGAGTATGACGGATGAGGCGTTCGTGTGCTCCGGCGAGCGCTCTGGCTCCGTAGTTTGTTGGCTCGATGTGTATGAGAGGGGCCGGCGGTTGCGTCAGCCTCCCGGTGGCGGTCGGACCGCCGGCGGCTGTTTTTATGCCGGTGCGCCGCCGAGTGCCGACTGCCTCGGCTCTGCCCCCGCTCGGGCCGGCCGCCGGCACAGCTGGAGCTCGGTAGGAGGGGGGGGGGGGAGGTCATGGCACGAACAGCTGACCCCGGGACGGGGTACGGGCCCCTGATGTGACATGACCGGGATGTGAATGGGCTATGAGGTGATGGCAATATTCATAACTCGGTTGTACTGAATACACCAAACATACCATGCATAATGATTATTGCAACTTTTAATGTTGTCACGCCGAACAACAAACCACACTACCCTGCCTTCCAAATACTCCCGGCCATTGAGTTAGCTACTTCTACGAGCGGCTAGTTCATGTGCTTTGCATGGGTTGTAAACTTCTGCAAAAATGCGACTTCCCCTAAACGTCCGTGTCGCCTTCGGCGGCGGTATCAGTACCTATGCAAGACTGACAGTTTCCTTGGCGTGAGGGGGTAGTTACTGGTTACTGGTTATACAATGTGCAGCGACGTGCCATTCCGTGCGGAGGATCTGTGCCATGCCACTGACACGTCAATGGCTCCCCAGGATGGATTACCATGGGCCTGTCAGTTGTTGCCATGTGACCGAGTCCTGTTACGGTGCTCCCGACCTGTCGTTTGTGCCTCCGCAGTTACACCACTGTTTTGTAATGCGCATGTTAAAAGACGGCTACGATGGACCAGTCAGCAGCAGCTTGAGTCTGCAGCGGGCGCGGCAACGAGGCCGACCGCTGACCGCAGTGCTGTGTTTCGGTGCGGCTCTGTCCTGTGCTGACCGTTTGAGTCTGCAGCGGGCGCGGCAACGAGTCCGACCGCTGACCGCAGTGCTGTGTTTCAGTGCGGCTGCGGTGATCCGCCCTCCGCTGACCGCCGTTTCTCGATGTGTGAGCGGCTGTCGCTCCCTGACCGCCGTGTCCCGCTGTGTTTCAGAGCGGCTGCCGTTCTCTGTGCGCGTGCTGCTGGAGGCGGCGGTGCGCTGCTGTGACGGCGTCCAGCTGCAGCGAGCCGATGTGGAGGCACTGCTCGACTGGCGCCGGCTCACCGACGCCGGCCAGCCCGTCCACGTGCCCTTCAAACCGGGACGCGTCATACTGCAGGTCAGACGCCGGGAGCAGAGCGTAGACAACAGACATGAACCGGTACTGGTCCAGATCCGACCCGCTTTGACCCGATCCGATTAGCCAGGTTCAATGCTTGTGTTCTGGACTGACCCGGTTCGATATGATTGAACCTCACCTGACCCAGTCGACATGGCCCTATCTGCCGTGGGCAATTTGCACAAAATCCAGTGTCCCGAAAAAGTCAATGCTAAGTTTAACAGTGTTTAAGTTTGGGGCCCATTTTGGGAGCGGTCTGTATGACTGTTTGCCGCCCCCCCCCCCCCCCCACGCTATCTGTTGTTGTGTGCCAGTGGACATTGATACTCGAGTGTGACGGGCCCCAGAGCACTCCACGGTACCACGGCGTCTCGGCGCCCGTAAGGGGCGGCACGGGACCGGCCGCCTGTCTCTGACTGGGGCTGTCTCTGACTGGGGCTGACTCTGACTGGGGCTGTCTCTGACTGGGGCTGTCTCTGACTGGGGCTGTCTCTGACTGGGGCTGTCTCTGACTGGGGCATGTGCCGAGGCAGATCCGCTGCTGCGAGACGGGTGGCGAGTCGGCCCGGGGCAAGACGCACTGTCGAATCGCTTCAGTATGGGCAAAGGCGTGTAGCGAAATATGGAAACCCGTTCCTATTGCCATTTTGCCTGCTAGTACTTTTTTGCATATTAAGTATGTACTATTCTCGAACATCTGTCGAGCTCTCATGTACTATACCAATGCCTACATATTTTCATGGCATTTGGTACCCGTCATGCTGGTGCTCGGCTCCAGTATGACCTCTTTATTTAACACTGTGTCTGCTGAATATCATGCCATCGGCTGTGTCCGCCCAGATTGGCACCCAGTGCACATACGTCACCGGCTGTACCATAAACAAGTCGTGCCCGCCCGGTCCCCCTCCAGGCCGGTGTGTGCTAATGACCTGCCGACGTCACCGCAGGAGACTCTGTCTCGGGTGCCGGGGAGGAGTTGCAGACTGTTTGTGCTATCGGCGCGGGCGCTGACAGGGAACATGTGCAACCAGAGTGTCCACCTCCCTGAGAGCAGTGTTAGCCATTAGCTGGGGCGGCGATGAAGTGATGTGAATTCCGAGAATGGATAATGTAGTCGGCCATGCTTCAGGGTTTTCTAGAGCTGAGGATTTGCCTGGGAGTGTCGTTCGTTACTCATGAAGGGAAGCGTGTGACGTGGGAGGTAAGGGGTTTCCTTGCAAATGAGAGTTGCATTTTCATGACTTTGAATGAGAAGCAGAAGCGTCTGACTGTCAAATGGAGATTTCGTGTCGTTCCTTTACACCCAATATCACAATGTGGGATATTAGCACGTGCGGAAGTGCTGGACATCCACTGCGGAGCTGCATGCCAGCCCTCACAAAACGCTCCCTGCCGTTATTGAATGTACACCATAGTTAACCTCCTCCTCCCTCCCCTCTGTACCGTGACATCGCCCCCACCTCTGTACCGTGACCCCGCCTCTACCCTGCCTCCAGGACTTCACGGGCGTGCCGGCCGTGGTGGACCTGGCCGCCATGCGGGAGGCGGTCCGCGACCTGGGTGGCGACCCGGCCCGGGTCGGACCCATCTGCCCGGCAGACCTGGTCATCGACCACTCGGTCCAGGTCGACTTCTCACGGGCGTAAGTACCGGGGGAGAGGGGGGGGGGGCTAACTTCTTTTCTCACGGGCGTACGTGCGGGGGGAGGGAGTAGGCTATAAAGTAATAACGGGCTATAGTACCGGGAGACAGATGAAGTTCTGAGTTGGACGCAGCGAATTGGTTCGATAATGGGCCTTCCGAAGGATTGCGACGGAACTTCTTTTTACCGCAAAGTGCACTTCCTGGTTAGGTATATCAGCGATGTGGTGTATATTTTCTAACCGTTTGTAGAGTGAGTGTTGTTTGTACGCTGTATCAGACTGTCGTTATAAACCGTGCGGTACCGTTCAATGTCATGTCGTGAGCTGCTGAACTTGTATCGTGTCTATTTAGTACGACTTTAGAGCCTGCCGGCATCTGGTTGGTCCTGTCCTGCACCACCGTCCGCCGGCACACCGGTGCATGTGCACCGATCACGCGACCACGGCCTGACATTGAGACAACTCGGGCGGCCCGGCTACTCAGCCGCGTCACTTTATTGTTTCGCGCACAGTCTGTTTGTTGATTGGGCCTCCCTGTCAGCTGGGTTTTCTGTTTGTTGGTTGGACGTGGCGAGAGGTGTATCAAATGGGAGCCGTCCCCGCCGGGTTCGGGTTTCCAACCTCTCCCCCCCCCCCCCCAGTTGACCGAATATGTGGCGAAATGTCGTGGTATTTATGCGGTAACTCAGTGTGAAGACGGATCATATGACGGTACCTGTGTTCTGTTTCAGCGTGGGTCAGCCGACCCCTGGCCGCGCCACCCCGGCCCCCTCCTCCGGCACCAGCGGCCGGCCCGTGCACGACATCGAGGGTGGTGCCGGCTCGGGTCGGTCGGCGTTCGCGCGCCGCGCGCAGGCCCGTGTCAGGAAGCCGGTGCGCGCCTCCTCTGCCACTGCCTCCTCCCCGTCCGCCGGTGCGCCGGCCGCGCCTCCTCCTGAGGCCGCCCCGGCCGCGGCACCGGAGCCGGCAACGGCAGCAGACCCCGCGCCGGCGGAGCCCCGGCCGGGCGCCTACCGTCCGCCGCACCGCCGGCAGCCGCCCGCGGCCGGCGCCGAGCCGCCGCCTCCCTCACTGCGGCCACCGCCGTACCGGCCGCCCCAGAGGCGGGCGGCGGCGGCCACCGGCGGCGCGGGCGACAAGGAGAAGGAGTGCTCCAGCAGGAGGGACGGCCGGTGCGCCTGTAAAAAGGTGGACCAGCTGCAGCTGCCCGCCTGCGGCGTGCCGGCCGCGCCCATCAAAGACGAGATCTGCCCCTTCCACGAGGAGGAGTCGGCTTTGTGAGTATGAGAGGGACTCCAGGGAACCGAGCATGAGAATGCGAATTGACGAACGCAGGGCTGCAACAGATGGGCAGCAATTCGCAATGGCTGCCTGCTGTATACATATATTCTACTGCCCAGTGTTTAGGTACGGCTCTCGCGAGATTAAGCGGTAGGATTTGCACTTTTACATTTCTGATTATATCTCAGAAACTAATCGATCTACGATGAAGCCATTTTGCACGATGATGGCCGGCTTGTGAACCAACAAGTCGATCGCATCTTCAACACTTAAAAGCTTAAGACGACGAAGATATAGCCTGAAGTACACTAAATTTTCTAGGTGCAAAACCTACCGCTAAAACCCTCGAGACGTCCACCTTCCTAGTGCCACGTTCAACATCGCTGTACGGCGACTGCAGCTGTCGCCATTTCTCCCTCCCCAAAGCGATGCTAAAAGCCATCGATCGGCATCCATTGCATAGGCTGACTTTTGCAGCATTGCGCAATCTGGCATCTGAGATGCTTTCGTGACATGGCGCCTGTCATTGGTATGTTTCTGATACTGCAGTCGAGTAACTGCAATGCATCGACGGTTATTGGGGCGCATGGCAACAGCAGGATGCCTGCTCGCTTCTAGCAACCGTTGTGGAGTTTGGTCCCTTTGCAATCTCAAGGTAACAGTATCAGTCACGTATTTAGGACGATATTGCAAAGCTGGCTGAGTGGACGCCGAGTGCTCTGAGCCATATCTCGAGTATACGAGCGCTTCGTAGCGTCCTCCCTCCGTGGTGTTCTACTTTTTTTGCGGTTCGTTCCGTTTCGATTTCACTGCATTGCCTTTGTCAAACCCATGCCGTGTTAACGATGTAACCCGACATTCTTTTTCAGCTCTGAGGCTTTAAGGAAGAACCAGGAGCTGGAATTCGACCGCAATAGTGAACGATTCCAGTTCTTGAAGGTAAGCCGTTGGGTTGAGCTACTGCGCTTATTGTATCCGCTCGTTATTCTTCATATTACTAAACGAGTACAGATTATCTATGAATCGGATAATAAGTCCGTTATTTGTTGAATATGTACTGGAAATTAGCTGAACATCTTTTATTGAGTGAAATTATAATATATGTGAAGAACTCGAATTACTTGCCAAGCCTGACGCCTTCCCCCCGCTCTCCGGCAGTGGGGCTCCCGGGCGTTCGCCAACATGCGCGTGGTGCCTCCGGGCTCCGGTATCGTGCACCAAGTGAACCTCGAGTACCTGGCGCGCGTCGTGTTCGACACGGACGGCCTGCTGCGGCCCGACTCTCTGGTCGGCACCGACAGCCACACGACCATGATCAACGGCCTGGGCGTGCTGGGCTGGGGCGTGGGCGGCCTGGAGGCCGAGGCTGCCCTGCTCGGCCAGCCAGTCACCCTGCGGCTGGCAGAGGTGGTCGGCTACAGGATCACCGGCCAGGTCAACCCGCTGGCCACCGCCACAGACATCGTGCTCACCATCACCAAGGTGGGCGGCGAGCGAGGAGTTTTATTGGTCGGATGAGAATTGGAGGTTGATTTGTGGGAGTGTGAGACTGTTGGACGATGTGACTTGCAAGCCGTTGCGTTCATGGAATGCTTGTGAGGCATTGGTGACAGCTGTACCTATGTACAGAGTTACCTTTATTTATTGCAGCTGTGTGAACGCTGTCCCTCCCGCTCTTTTCCGTCAGCATCTGCGCCAGGTGGGCGTGGCCGGCAAGTTTGTCGAGTTTTTCGGCCCCGGCGTGAGTCAGCTGTCGATCGCCGACCGGGCCACCATCTCGAACATGTGTCCAGAGTACGGCGCGACCGTCGGCTTCTTCCCGGTGGACGAGCGCAGCCTCGACTACCTGGTGCAGACCGGTGAGTACCGGCGGACGGGTGGACCGGAGTGGCGGGAAACACACGCTCAGGGGGAGGGGAGGGGATATCGTGGCACTGGGTTCGTTGGAACGCCGAAGCGATTGGCTCCGAGTTGATCTTGAGAAGAATGCAGGGCCTATTTTAACATGTTAACTGGGGTGGCAAAACCCACCCCAGTGGTGCGGTTTTCCACCCCAGTCGTCTAATTTTGCCACCCCAGTGAAAAACAGCCCAAAAGTCTGCCCACAGATATTAGCTGCCGACAATCCCGGAGGCCACACATTCTTGGGGCGCAACTCAGCTTGACAGGGGGAAAAGGGCTCACTGAGGCGCCACCACCACCAATGGGGTGCCCTCTCACTACTGGGGGTGCCCTGCCGCAACTGTGGCGCCCTACTTTGATTGGGACACACTACCGGCAACGGGGTACCCTACCACGACTGAAGAGCCCTATCAACATTGGGGCGCCCAGATACGATTGGGGCGCCAACCACCTTTGGACGTCCTATCAGAAATGGGACGCCGTACCACTACTGGGGCGTCGTAACACTACTATGACGTTCCACTGGTGCACCATACCGCCACGAGGCGCCCTACCACCACTGGGGCGCCCACCACTACTTGGGCTCCCTACCACTACTCAGGCGCCCTGCTACAAGGGTGGCGCCCTGTCACTACTGGGGCGCCCCTCAGGGACGCCATACCGCTACTGGATCGTCCTACAGAGTGTTACTTTTAAAGGGGGAAAGGGGAAATTTCCCCCTTCGAAAATTACGCTCCCCCTTTCAAATTGTGTCAGAATGGCTAGGAAGGGAAGGGGGAATTTCCCCCTGTCAAAATTATTTTTGAGACCATTTTCAATTAATTCGCTATTCAGATTCTATAGTCATCGTTATTCAGATTCTAGCAGGGCATATTTTAACAAATTTTTACTGCGTCCCAAAGTTGAGCAGAGGGCACGTCAGGGGCGCGGGAACTACTTTCCGACTGGGGGGCACACCATAGTAGAGATCAACCTAGGGTACCCCCAAATCTAGTTTTCTCACCGGTTTTAGGCCACTTATTTTTCACCCCTCGGCTTTTTCAACAAAAAAAGAAAACATTTGCAAAAAAAGTGTGGTATTCCGTCTCAAAGCTGTGGGGGCACCACCCCCACGGCCCCAGAGTTGGGGGGGCAAGTTGCCCCCACTGCCCCCCGGCTCCCGCGCCTATGGGGCACGTGCTACGACTAAGGGCACAGGGCAAGGAACAGAGTAGGGCACTGAGGAAAGCAGAAAGTAGGGCACGGCAGGTTACAGGGCATGGCACAGGACATTTTAGAGGGAAGGGTACAGGTCAGGGTAGACAGGAGGGCATAGGTCAGGGAACCGGACAGGGCACAGGGCAGGGACGCAGTGGGTCAAATCAGCAGGGGCTACGTCCCAAGGCGAGGGGGCTGCGTCCCAAAATGGGACGCAGTAAGTGCCTTAAAATATGCCCTGGATTCTAGTCATAAATCAACGTTGCTGGCGCTAAGATATTATCAATGAGTGTGGGCAGTGGCACCGCCAGGGCGGAACTTGGAATATCCGGAACTCCAGATTTGACCCGATACCGATCGGATGGTCGGTGAGACCGTCTCTTGTGTTGTCTCTTCGCACTCACTCAGGGGTGGATCCAGGAAAACTCCAAGGGGAGGGTCGTGAATCGAAGTGGTGCCCCTACCTATACCCAAAATTAAAAACTCAACGGTTTTCGGCCACTTAATTTTGGTGGTGCCCTAAGTTCATTTTTTTTTGGGGGGGGGGCTGTGGACTGTGGTGTCCCTGTTAGGCCGCAGGTGCCTCTGACAGGTTCGCTAGGTTCCTCTGACGTGGTGCCGCTAGGGAAGGAACGTGGTGCCCCTGACAAGTCAGACGTGCCAAATACAGGCCTGTGGTGTCCCTGACAGGCCCATGGTGCCCCTGCGAGACCGGTGGTGTCCCTGCTAGGCCGGTGGTGCCCCTGCTAGGCCGGTAATGCCACTGCTAAGCCGCCGGTGCCCCTGGTAGGCCTGTGGTGCCACTGCTAAGCCGCCGGTGCCCCTGGGCCCTGACAGGACTGTGGTGCCACTGACAAGCCTGGAGTGTCCCCGACAGGCACGTGGTGCCCCTGACAGGCCTGTGGTGCCTCTGGAAGGGCTGTGGTGCCCCTGGGCTCTGACAAGTCTGAGGTGCCCCTGACAGGCCCGTGGTGCCCCTGATAGGCCCGTGGTGCTCTTGCTACACAGGCCTGTGGTGCCCCTGGCAGGCCTGTGGTGCCCCTGGTGCGCCTGGTGCCCCTGGGCCCAGACAGGACTGTGGTTCCCCTGACAGAACTGTGGTGTCCCTGACAAGCCTGAAGTGTCCCCCGACAGGCCCGTGGTGCCCCTGCGAGGCCGGTGGTGCCCCAGGCAGGTCTCTGGTGCCCCTGACAGGCCCGTGGTTGGTGCCCCTGCTAGGCCTGTGGTGCCCCTGTCAGGCTTGTGGTGTCTCTGATAGGCCGGTAGTGCCCCTGGCAGACCTTTGGTGCCCCCGGGCCCCAGCGGGTTCAAGACCCATGCGACCCCCCCCCCCCCCCTTGGATCCGTCACTGCACTCACTGACATCAGTACAGGCGTCGGCTAGAAACCGTCGGGGGACGGGGGTCATGACTTCCCCGAATTTTATTCCATCTCTCAACTTTTCCTGTAAAAGTAACCCTGGTGCTACTACTATTAAGGCGCCTTACCACAACTGAGGCGATATGTCGGTACGGCCTACGGGTATCAACGGTGCATCAATGACAAATAGCAATATACAAATTACAACAGTGGCGGCAGAACACCTTCACCTTCTGGCGACGGGGCACCGCCGACTTTTGGTCGCATTCTTTCCATGGAACGCCAAAAGGGCTAATGTTAAAATGCCAAAATCAAAGGGGGGCACGGTGCCCCGGTGCCCCCCCCCCCGTTCCGCCGCCTATTAATTACAACACTGGTCACCAATGCATCTTTCTTGGCATTACAGAACCATAAGCGCTTCAAAATCTGGAGAGCGTCTCGGGGCAGTGACGTGGCGAGATATTTAGATTTATCTACAATCAACAATGGGGTGAAGTTGTTTGGAAGTGAAGTTGGAAGTTGGGGGGGGGGGGGCGCCCACACAAGAGACAGGGGCGCCACCACTGCCTGGCCACCCCAGTCCAATTGTCTTAAAATAGGCCCTGGAAGAATGGTTAAACAAATGACAGATAAAACTAGCTTTACCAGTTAAGCCGCGTTCTGTTTGCGGAATGCTAATGCCTCTTAGCTGTGAAAACAACGCCCGTAAGGAGGAGTTGACATCACGTTTGGTTTCTGCTCCGATAAGCCGGTATCGCTCTCCGATGACCCAGGTGTGTCCGGTATGGCGTGCGGCCGGCGTCGCTCGGTGCCACGCGGCCGATAAGACAGGCTGGTGGGCCGGCGTGGTTTCTGACCGCCGACGGGCGCGGTGTGTACGAACCGCGCTCGTCACTAGACATTAAGTTCAGCTTCTCATCTTCATTGAGAATAACTACATGTTTTTTCAGAAAGGTCGGCCGCTCACGTGTCTTTTCCAGGACTTTGTCTGGCTGTCAATCCCAATATGGCTAGGCACACAGATCTGACGGACCCGTCTGCCTTTTACGGTGTACTTTCTCTGCTCCCCTTTGGAGTCAAACCATGTCTGCATGGAAATTGAGCAAAACTTGCAGCACGATTCCACTGGCTTTGGTGGAACACTTGACATGATGAAGATTGAGGCCTCCAGGCTCTGAGCTGATCTTGAAGGGCGGTGAACAAATAAGAGAAGCAGCTATATCAATGGTGCAGTGCTCTCGTGTCTGCGCTACAGTCCCGTACCTGTAACCACCCGACCCCTCCCGTCCCGGCATCCCTCCTCAGAACTAGTCTCTCTGTCTGACCCGCCTCTGATCTCCATGCTATTCCCCTTTGTGGGCCGAGATGCCGACCTTGTGGCGGTGACGCGCCCCGTCCCCGCCTCTGAACCCCTGTCTGCCCGGCTCCCAGGCCGTGTCGCCGGCCGTATGGCGGTAATTCGCTCCTCCCCCGTCACCGACGCCGGCTCTGACCCCTCCCCCCTCTGTTCACAGGTCGGGACGCGGGCCGCGTGGCGGTGATGCGCGCCTACCTGTCGGCGGCCGGTCTGCTGCGCGACTACTCGGCTGCCGACCAGGACCCTGCGTTCTCGCAGGTGGTCGAGCTCGACCTGGCCACCGTGGTGCCGTCGGTCAGTGGGCCCAAGCGGCCGCACGACCGGGTGGCCGCCAGCCAGCTGAGGAACGACTTCATCCGGTGTCTGTCGGCCGAGGTGAGGCGGGCCGTGAGGGACGACTTTATCAGGTGTCTGTCGGCCGAGGTGAGGCGGGCCGTGAGGGACGACTTTATCAGGTGTCTGTCGGCCGAGGTGAGGCGGGCCGTGAGGGACGACTTTATCAGGTGTCTGTCGGCCGAGGTGAGGCGGGCCGTGAGGGACGACTTTATCAGGTGTCTGTCGGCCGAGGTGAGGCGGGCCGTGAGGGACGACTTTATCAGGTGTCTGTCGGCCGAGGTGAGGCGGGCCGTGAGGGACGACTTTATCAGGTGTCTGTCGGCCGAGGTGAGGCGGGCCGTGAGGGACGACTTTATCAGGTGTCTGTCGGCCGAGGTGAGGCGGGCCGTGAGGGACGACTTTATCAGGTGTCTGTCGGCCGAGGTGAGGCGGGCCGGAGGCTGGAGGAGGGGAGGTCGGAGACGGGGGACGAGACTGACAGATGGATGCGCAATGGGCGATGGGTGGCCGCATTGTGAGATTTGCTGGAGGCTGCTTGGTAGATATGTTATTTTGATAGTTATCTATAAAATCACAGTTGCATCCGAAGTTACATTTAAGTTGAAATTGGATCAGATTCAAAGTGTCCAATACCCGAAGCACGTTCTATCAGACAGATTGACCGAACTACTGCATTGGGCTGCAGTTTGCCGATGGTTCAGCTGCAGTCATGATACTGGGCCGGATGCCTGCCTCTGACAGTATCTGAATATGGTGACCGACTATTTCTGTTAGCGCTCGGCTGCGCTCTGAGGTACCGGACCGTGCCCATGGTCTGTCGAGTCTACCCCGACTGACTCCCACCCCGCCCCGCGTCCGTCAGGTGGGCTACAAGGGTTTCGGCGTGCCCGCGGAGCGGCTGGAGGCGCGATGCGACATTCAGTTCGAGGGCGCCACCTACAGTCTGGGCCACGGTTCGGTGGTGATCGCCGCCATCACTTCCTGCACCAACACCAGCAATCCGAGCGTCATGTTGGGGGCAGGTGAGAGATTAGCGACACCATCACCATCATCAATAATACCACCAACTAATAACATCGCCTGGTAGTAAGAAGTAAGCACCATTCCAGTTGGACAACCCGAGGCATCTTCAAGTGCCTTTCCATTTTTTGATTTCGAATACAGGAAGTTCACTTAGTTTGACGGTAGTTAGGGTTCAGTACCCTACAGGGTCCTCCTAGCGTGTCTTACACCCTACCGGCGCGGCCCGCTCACCCCTCCCTCTCTCGTTACGCCAGGTATCCTGGCCAAGAAGGCGGTGGAGCGCGGCCTCTCGGTGCCGCCCTGGATCAAGACGTCGCTCTCGCCGGGCTCCGGCGTGGTCACCCACTACCTGCAGGACAGCGGCGTGCTGCCGTTCCTGCAGCGGCTCGGCTTTGGTATCGTCGGCTACGGGTGTATGACCTGTATCGGCAACAGCGGGCCGCTGCCCCGACCCGTGGTGGACGCCATTGAGCAGGTACGGCCGGGTGCGCAGCGTGTAGTGCAGGGCGGATTGGTCGGTCATCGGTTGTTTCTGCTGATGCTGTTCGCGTTTGCTTCCCTTTTGAGTAATAACGAGATCGTTCGTGCTTGTATCGATCCGGTACCCAGGTTTGATGCAAATTAGATATACTTTAGCGACGGTGGGGACAGTTTATGGCGACGTTTCGCTAGTTGACGTGTGTTTCGCCATCAACCATGCTCCATATCTCTCGGCAGTCCGTCCCGCTGGCTCTCCGCTCGTCTCACCCCACACACACGCCTCCGTACACCCACAGTGTAACCTGGTCTGCTGCGGCGTGCTCTCCGGTAACCGCAACTTCGAGGGCCGCGTCCACCCGCACGTGCGGGCCAACTACCTGGCCTCGCCGCCGCTGGTCATCGCCTACGCGCTGGCCGGCCGCGTCGACATCGACTTCGAGACGACGCCCATCGGTGGGGATCGGGGTGGGAGCCGGGGAGAAGCCAGGGCGTTAGCTGATGGCATAGTGAAAGCGGCAGGATGGTGACCGTTTGGTGTTATTTTTTTGTGTTGGTGTTTTATTATTTATGATGACAGATGTGAGCGTTTACGAGCTCTCTTAGAACGGCCCTCGGTTCACCACAAGCACAAACGGCCTTTAGGCCAGTTCCTAAGCTTCTACCGCTCAGTGATGACGGCGGTGTCCACTGACGGCGGTGTCCGCTGACGGCTCTGTGTCCGCTGACGGCGGCGTCCACTGACGGCTGTGTCCGCTGACGACTGTGTCCTGAGACGGTCTGCCTACTAACTCGACTTTAGATATGGGAAAGATCTTAGCAGACTTTTCACGCATTTTCGTCCGAAATTGAGCAAATCTACTTTGTGTTTCACCATTCGATTTGAATTCTAAACAACTCAAGTTTCAGCGCTGTTTAGTTTTTATTATTACTGCTCTCGACTTTGCTGTGTGCCCGCGCCCCAGGCACCTCCCCCGACGGAGAGCCGGTATATCTGCGCGACATCTGGCCCACACGGGAGGAGATCCATCAGCTCGAGTCCAAGTCGGTCATACCGGCCATCTTCGCCGACGTCTACTCGAAAATCACCAAAGGTATGATGACAGGCTCATGTTTGTTTTGAAATCACGTCATTGTGGTTGAATATTCCATGGGATGATGGCGTCGATGTGTCTTTTTCACGAGACGTTTGATGTATGAATTATTTTGCGGTTCGAGTACCGCTGCTGTATAACATCACAAGTGGGATGAGTGCTGCATAAATTATGGCTATGGCACGGCTGATTCATCTATCGTGCGGTGGTGTGTTCGTTGAAAGTCAGCTGACCCCTGGCTGTTCCCATCTGGGCAGGTAACGCCAGCTGGAACGCGCTGGAGGTGCCCGACTCGGCCACCTTCCAGTGGAGCGACCGGTCCACCTACATCCAGATGCCCACCTTCCTCCAGGGCATGACGCGGGTGAGAGACGGCGCAGAACTGTCCTGGCGCTGCCAAATGCCGTGTCGTGTGTCGGAATAAAATGTCAAATGTCACCTTGAGTGGCTACTGTGAGAACCGTCGGCGAATGACAAAAGTCAAAACGTGACAGTGACAAAAGCAATTCAATAGCAATACAAAAGTTGATCGTATTACGTTCATCTGCCTTACCCACCTTCCTCTTGTGAAGGCGTTAGCCTGTTGCACCCCGCTAGTTTTGCCTCCGCCGGACATCCTTAGTGACTCCTTACCGTTACCCTCTGTACAGGATCCGCCGGCGGGGCGGGGCATTGAGGCGGCGCGCGCTCTGCTGGTGCTCGGTGACGCCGTCACCACCGACCACATTTCACCAGCGGGCAGCATCGCACGCACCAGCCCGGCCGCCCGCTACCTCATCGAGATGGGGTGAGTGAGAGGGTCCGCCTACTAAATCGGCTTTAGATATGGGAAAGATCTTAGCAGACTTTTCACGCATTTTCGTCCGAAATTTAGCAAATCTACTTTGTGTTTCACCATTCGATTTGAAACCTAAACAACTCAAGTTTCAGCGCTGTTTAGTTTTTATTATTACTGCTCTCGACTTTGCTGTTGTCGTGTCGATCCTCTTTGATTGAAAGCGTTTTGTCATAGGCATCAACTCGTTCCTAACCGCTCCGCCTCTGTCAGTCTGACGCCGCGCCAGTTCAACTCGTACGGCTCTCGGCGCGGTAACGAGGCGGTCATGGTGCGCGGCACGTTCGCCCACATCCGACTGGCCAACGGGCTGCTGGCGGCGCCGGGGCCGCGCACCGTCCACCTGCCGTCCGGCGCCGTCCTGGACGTGTTCGACGCCGCCCAGCGCTACCGGCGCGACGGCACGCCGCTCATAGTGCTGGCCGGAGCCGAGTACGGCTGCGGCAGCTCCCGCGACTGGGCCGCCAAAGGACCCGCACTGCTGGTGAGTCGGGAGGGGACGGCTGTGGGAGACCCGCCGGGACTGGGCCGCCAAGAGACCCACTGCTGTTCAGTCTGGATGGAGGGAGGGAAGGAACGGGTGCCCCAGAGGCTGTTCAGCCTGGCCCGGGGAAGGGAACCGTCCTGACTTGTCATTCCATCCGTTCGCTAACTCTCTCTCTCTCTCTCTCTCTCTCTCTCTCTCTCTCTCTCTCTCTCTCTCTCTCTCTCTCTCTCTCTCTCTCTCTCTCTCTCTCTCTCTCTCTCTCTCTCTCTCTCTCTCTCTCTCTCTCTCTCTCTCTCCTCTCTCTCTCTCCTCTCATCTCTCTCTCTCTCTCTCTCTCTATCTCTCTCTCTCTCTCTCTCTTCTCCTATCTCGCTCTCCTCTCCTCTCTCTCTCCTCTTACTACTCTCTCTCTCTCTCCTCCTGCTATCTCTATCCCCCTCTGCTCTCTCCTCTCCTCTCTCTCCTCTCCTCTCTCCTCTCTCTAGCCCCTCCTCTCTCCTTCTCTCTCTCCTCTCTCTCTCTCCTCTCTCTCTCTCTATCTCTCTCTCTCTCTCTCTCTCTCTCCCTCTCTTCTCTCTCCCTCCTCTCTCTTTCTCCTCTCTCTCTATCTCTCTGCTCTATCTCTCTCCCTCTTCTCTCTCTCTCTCTCTCTCTCTCTCTCTCTCTCTCTCTCTCTTCTCTCTCTCTCTTCTCTCTCTCTCTCTCTCTATCTCTCTCTCTCTCTCTCTCGTCGCTCGCTCTGCTTTCGCTCGCTCGCTCGCTCGCTCGCTCGCTAGGTATCCGCCGTATGACCGTCCTGTCTCTCCGCAAGGGCGTGGCGGGCGGTGTGCGCGGTGTCGTTTGACCGCGTGCAACCGCAGTAAACCTGGCAGCATGGCGTGCTGCCGCTGCAGTTCCTGCCCCGGACAGTCGGCCAAACCGCTGGGACTCGGCGGACGCGAGACCTTCAGTATGGCACTGCCGAGCGACCTGGCGCCGCGGTCCACAGTCACAGTCACGGTGAGATGTGACAATCGAACCACTTTGCCCCCTGTTCAGAAATGGTGACATTTATACTCAACCGTCAAAGTGTCAGTCATACCCTAGAACTGCGCCACCGTTCCCAGTGTCGGATATCGCCCACCCTTTGCCTCCGCCTCTCACCGCCTTCTCAATGTTTCCCGCCACCACACACTCTACAGCTACCTCTAACCCTCGTCCCTCCGCCGGCAGACGGACGACGGCCGCAGTTTCCCGATGACGGCCCGACTGGAGACGCAGACGGAGATCTCCTGGTACCGGCACGGCGGCCTCCTCAGGTACATGGTGCGCCAGCTGCTCTGACGAGCCGCGCGCCGCTAGGTCGCGCTCTACACACGTCACAGGCAGGCCCGTGACAAAGTGTGACGCTCCGTGACACACTGTGACGCCCGTGACGCTGGTGATGACGTGTAACGTTTGGTGACGCGCTGACGTCGTCCGCCGCCATCAGCAGTTGGCGGCGGATTAGTTCCAACAGCTGCAGAGGCGGGCACATCCCGTCCGTCTTCCCTCCGCCAGCGGTTAGGGAGGGTTATGACCACACCAAACTCTCAGAGACAGGGAACAGAGGGCGCTGGCTTGACATGGAGTGAGATCGGGGCGCGATGCGGGGCGGGCCAGGACGTATGAGGGAGTTGTCACTATGCACACGGTCATTGCCGAGTTGAGAGGTTGGGCGGGACCCGGATGGCCAGTGACCAGTGGACGCGTAAGACGAGACACCGGCGGTTACGATAGAGGTGACTCTGGTACGGGGAAAGATTGGCGACAGTACGAGGGGAAAATTAATGGAAAGGAGAGGGAAAAATTGGGTGGAGAGCCAGACAAGATTGACGGTAGGGTGAGTGGGAGATTGACGGCGGGAGGAGGAGAAGATTGGCACCGGGAAGAGTCGTCAGTGGACACGCCAGTGCTTCAGCGGCTAGGGCTGCTGTCCCCTGCTGACGTGCAGGCATACGATACCATCCAGGCAGAGCGAGTATTACTGCGTGAACTGTGAACATGTCCTGGACCTCTCAGCTGCGCTCATAGCAGGCCGCGGATTTCACCAGGGACCAGTACGGGCGCCAGCCGGTCCGACACATCAGTATCAGACTTGTGTGAGTGTATGTGCTTGTGTGTGAACGTGTCGCTAGTGTGTTTTGCGAGGATGTAAACGCGATTTTGTGCCATCGATGAGAGATAATTAGTTTGGCGAGTGTCGTTGGGCCAAGGCGGAAGGTATTTTGTCCGGTCTTGTGCGAAGTGAAGGAGCTGGCCTCGAGTTTTGTCCCTATGTTGCGTCACCCAGTGTATCCGTGTACTTATGTGGTGAAGTCTTCTGCAGTTGTTAAGTTTTTGACCGATGCCTTTGATGCTGCCGCGTTTGATTTGTATCCTATTGCTCGGTGCCTTTCATTGTACCGGGCGCGCTCGAGGAGCGCTGTACCGGCTGCTGCCACTGGACAGGTGCTGTATCCGAAATGTGACCGTGGTGAGCTGCCTGTGGTGTCGGCGTTCTGTCGGATTGGGAGCCGTCGGTTGCGGCCGGTCCTGATTCGCGGGCGACGGGCCGTGCTCTGCGCCGGACCGAGTGTATCAGTTGGCGTCTGAGCGCACGGCGCCGTAGCTGCCCCGCTCTCTACGTGTGCGCCTGTGTGTCTGGTAGAATATATTGGTGACTGCTGCACTGCATTAGTATCCGTGGTGGCTGGTCGGATGATGCTTGAATCATTGTCGAGTCTCCGAGGCACTCAGACTGAAGCATCGCACTGCCAGCTCGAGAGCTGATATCGTTCTCTCTTTCCCACTACCGATAACAGATTTTGTGCTTGTACCGAGTACTGGCTGTTGGCCGTGTGCATCATCGCACTATCTACGGTATACCTGTCTCGCCAACAGTTACCCTTCCCGAATCAAAGGGCTGACTCCCAAACCAAGCCTATGTTGAGTCAACGGGAGCCAGGATATTTAGTCTAGGGTCACCTGGCGCCAGTCAAGTGTTGACCTAAGCCGCCCGATTGGCCGTGTTTGAAAAGGGGCCAGCAGTTCAAACTCAGTGTTTGGTCATGGCGGCTGTGATATGATTTCGAACGCCGACGCCGGCCTGCGACCACACAATCTCGGCTGGGACACACAGACGTGAACGCCGACCGCTGACGGGCCAATGGTTCCTCGACGGGTCGGGGATCCCCAAGGATCCCCCAAAGAGCGTTTTACTTATGAATCATGTATTACAAATAAAGCATCATAGGAAAAGGCTGCAGTTCTCTGTAGAGCCTGGATTACGTACGAACAAGCTTTGTGATCTATTGTGCTGACATACAAGAACTATATTTGTGTAATAATCACATGACTGGCATAGTTATAAAGCTGATTTAAATCAATTGACAGGACCACCTAGAAAACCACTTAGAACATACAGTGCGCTCGAGTACACAGTTCCCTCGCCATCCGCCGCCCCTGCCTTATTCTGTCAGAGCCTACGGTAAAAGAAGCCGCAACATCACTCACAGCTCAGCGAATCACATCACAATCTTATCGTAATCACGTCGTACAGGCAGCAGCACATTCTCTGCACTTGGCTACTGCACTGCACGTCCACCACGAAACAAGTTACCAAACGAAGCTCGCCGCGCTGCGACTAGAGGGACGTCACGGTCGACGTCACCGGTGCCGGCATTCCCGAGGCGTCAGTGAACACGTCGTCGTTCTGGGGGTCGACCTCTGTGCCGACCGATCCGTCCAGGCTCCCGGTCCTGGCCGCCGCCAGCTCCGGGCCGCCCAGCTCCCCGGCGGACTCGCGCTGCGTGAACGACGTCTCGTTGGCCGTCTCGTAGGCGGAGGGACTGGAGTGGCCCGACCTCTGGGACGCGCTGCGCTGGCGCGGGGGCGGCCCGGCCGCACTGGTGGCTCGGGGCTCGGCGTTCCGTGCGTCTGCGACCTCGTCGTCCGTTGTGCAGGGCCAGCTGATCAGGTCGGGCGGGCTGGGCGTCGTGTCGCGAGAACTTCCAGCCGCGTGGGGCTGGTGCCGAGTCCCTGGAGAAGCATGCGGAGGACCGTCACGTCTATTCTCCCTCGCCGGTGGCGCCTCAGTGTTTGGGGCTGATGGAGACTCTTTGCTACTCTTGTTTGTCCCCGGTGCTTGGGCACCGTTTCGAACTTGTGCAGGAGTCTTTTGTTCATGGGACAGCTTCCGCGCCGGAATTTCAGGGATGGCCGGCGATCCCCTGCGCAGGCCGCCGGCGGGAAGGCTCCGTCTCTGGCTGACGCCTCGCTGAAGCGGCGTTGGCGAGGGTGTGCCGCTCGGGGGCTGAGAGGCGCGCTGCGCCACTGGCGGCGGTGAGGGCCGCAGGCGAACGGACAGGGAGGTGACCGCGCCTCCGCCGTCCCCGCTGCCAAGTCTGGTGAACGGCGAGTGGGTCGAACGTCTTCTGAGCGTCACCGGCGAGCCTTCCCCGTCATCCGCCTGCTGCGCGGCCGCTGGCAGCTCTCCCCGCTGTGTCATCTCGAAGCGTCGGACCTTATCGCGCACGCTGCCCGGCCTGTCGGTGCGACTGAATGGCTCCGGGGCCGACTGCTGCTCGGGTGACCGGGGGCTCTCCGCTGCTGAGCGCTCCAGCTCGCGCACCCTCTGCCGGATGCTGCCGGGCCGGCCGGTGCGGCTTAGCACGGACGACGGAGACGAAGGCGGCGTGGTCGGAGAGTCGAGAGCACGTTGCCCCACCGCGGGACGCTCCTCGCGAGCCCTGGCCACCAGGATGTCCGGGTCCAGTGGGAGCGGCCGCAGACGGGCACGGTCGGGCGCTGCTCTGGCGGCGGGGGCGCTGTGTTGGCCCGGCGATAGGTCGATGGTCTGTGCTACCACGGAAGGCTTGGGACTGGTTGTCGGTGTTTGCGAGGACGGTTGAATGGTAGAATCTGTCCGTGCCGATGCCGGGGATTGATGTTTCAAAGCAGACCTCAGATTCGGTTCGCTCTTTGGTATAACAGTGTGACCTTCCTCTGTTGAGGACCGGTTCTTCACTTTCGGAGAGCTCGGCGGAGAGCTTGTGTCCGGCTCCAGTTCCGGATGACGCGCAAGGTGCGCCGCCCTGCAGGCGAAGAACTCATCCTCCATCGACATTCTTCTGGTGCCCCGGGACGGCGGCGCGGCGGCCGGCGGCGGGCCGGAAACTGGTGATGGGGGTGGACTCACCGGCCCCTCCGAGTCGCTCCCCGGCGGCGCCATCTTCACCTCGTTGTTGTGGTGACCTCCGTTATGTAACGCCAGCTGAGCGCGCATCTCGAAAAACTCCTTGTCCATCGACAGACGGCCGCTGCGCCGACGGAACGCGGCCCTGGCCGCCGTCCGGTCAGCGACCGGTGGCTTTGATTGCGATTGGCTGGTACCTCCTTCCTTTCCGATAGCTCCTGACATCGGGACGTGGTTTGCGCTATTACCCGCCGGTACTGGTGGCTGGCCACTTCTTTGAGTTTCCGCCGATTGTTGTGAGGGTTGACCCTCTGTGGCGTGCCCTCCTGCGCGCCCATTGTGCAGCTGCAACTGGCTCTTCATGGCAAAGTACTCGGCGTCCATTGAGAGAGGACGAGACTTACGACGAGTGCTCGCCAGGCTACCCGGGCGCTTGGTAACGTTTTTCTGGCCAGTTTGTTCCGAAGGAGAAGCTTCTGTGGAGCCCCTAATTTGTGCTTCTTGCGTCTGCGTATATTCCGAGGCGTTCCCAGCAGGCGCCTCAGAGGCGGTGTGAAGGTTTTGTGTACTTCGGCCAGGGCTGTCAGCTGCTGGTGTAGCATGCACGGACGATAATCCTGCGTTGGCCTCGGACAGCTTTCGCTTCATGTCGTGGTACTCTTTGTCCATGGACAATTTCCTGGATCGGCGACGCTGGATAAACTTGCCAAACCTCTGGTGCTGTTTGTCTTCGATCGATTGGTGCTGAAGATCGGACTCTGGTTGTGGACACTCCCCCGTCACCAATGGCACATACTCGCTCCCAGGTATACCTGAGGCTAGATCATCCATTGCACTCACGCCTGAGCCTGCGACAGCTTCTTTTTCTTCTGCCACTAAAAGGCTCGAACTTGCCTGGTCATCTTTATTTGTCGCTGGACCTCTCTCTGCTACTCCAACTGTGTCTGCTTTCTCTTCGCTGGTGTCTGTCGTCGTTGCAGCTACCGCATTGCCTTCAAGTACTACAACGGCGCTGTCAGCCGTCACCATCTGAAGCCCTGGTGCTGGTAGGTCGCCAGCCTCTGTAACGACACACTCAGAAGATGCTGAACAGTTTGATACAACCTGTGACTCCTCGTGTGAGTCCTTCACAGGCGTAAATATACCATGCGCCGCTGGTAGGTGATGTGGTTCTGGAGGCGGTGACAGAGGTAGAGGTGGCGGTGTCCTGTAATCATCATGGTTGTCGTCTTCCCGCACAATCCGATGGTGTGTTGGTGGATTCGTCGTTGTTGCACACTGCTGCTGCTGAGCCGCGTTGCTGTCATCACGTTTAAGATGCATGTGTTCAAGTTTTTCTTGAGCGGATTGATGGATTATCTTTCCCTTGTCATCCAAAGTGCGACCTGAGATCTGTTCAGCGGATGCCACTGTTTCAGGATTCCAACTTGGGTTAACTGGGGTGTCGTAGTGTTCTTGTGTTTGCTCGGTATCTTGAGTCACCAGGGGGAACTTGATGAAGATCTCTTGGAGTCGGGGGTTCGTGGCATCTTCCTGGGCTCCATCTATTGGTATGTGCAGGGAGGATCGATATGTGGCTGACGTGTTCTCGCTTTCTAATCCGCTTTCCGATTCGGACTCTCCTTGTTCACATTGTTCCTTCGCAGTCAAGTTAGTGATGTTTTCATCTGCCTCGGATGAGCTCTCCCTTTGGGGCGCTTCGCCTGCGGAATCGAACGTTCCGATATTTTGAAGGTTAGTGGGTGGTTGTGGCTGCTCGGGGGAGGAGTCAGACGGACAGGATTTTTCGGTAGATGACTCCCTAGCGGCGGAGCGAGCCTCTAATCGTTTCCGTCGGCTGCTGAGGTCCTCTTCCAGAACCGGATATGGCTCTTCCACGGGAGAACGGTGGAGGTGGCCTATATGTGCCGACATCGGCCGGATGGCACTGTTCGGAGCGAGAAGACTTAAGGGTTTGAAGGCCTCACGTCGAGAATGTTGGCTGGCTGGCCTGGTTTGCGGGGCCGCTGATGTGGTGCTATTCGTCCTCTCGCTGACTGATGGATGATCTGACGTTGCTTGTTTGCCATTTACAGATGTTGCGACTGGAGCACGGACAGACGGATCGACACCAGCCACAAAACTGTCGGCGACAGGAACGCCATCCGATCCAGGTCTGCTCTTTGTTTTGGTGTCGTGTTTGTCTGGAGGGGCTCCCGCAGGCGAAGCTGACAACTGAAGCTTTTTCACCTCGGTCTCTACCATGGGCTGCTCACGTGGCACGCGAATGGCTGGCGGCTGCGTCGTGTTTGGCTCGGCGACCACATTGATGACGATCCTTCCCGGCACTGTCAGCGTCCTCTCTGAGGAGGGCAGGGTGACGCTGGAAGAGAACAGTGGCGTCTTTGGTAGATTTACCTCACCTTGCGAAGATGGTGTCTCAGCAGTGGCATCAAGGCGAAGTGTCAAAAGCTGTTCGCCTGTTGTCGGGGACTTGAACTGGAACATTTCGGCTAAGAACTCGTTGGGTATTGTTTTGGGTGCTGGCGTATCGACAATGGGACATTGCGGTGAACTGAGCTTCCCGGTCTCTTGGGAATTGATGTCAAAAGGGCTGAGCCTGGTCTGATTTTGTTTCGAAAGTGCGGTATTTGGACTTCTCGGTAGAGGCAGGTGGTCCAACTCACGTTTCTCCTCCGTCCCTTCATTTTCCGACGACCTTTTGGCTTTAATGTCCGTGTCGAGTATGTCTTTGTCGGCTTGCTCTGCGAAACAGCTCTCTCCGCTTTGTTCCCGGCGTGTTTCAGAAACAGGACCATCCAGCACAGCGTTGCGATCGTTTGTGGCTTTCCTCCCCTTTCGTGCCTTTTTCGATGCCACTTTCAGCTCCTCTAATGCCTTTTTGGCTGACAGCATTTCATTCTCTATCTCACGCTCCATCCATTCAATCAGCTGCACCTGCAGGGTCTCTTGTTCTTCAACTAGCACTTCTTGTAGGCATTGGTCCATCACCCAGGCAGCGGCATCGTCCCGCAGACCAAGCTCAGCGATTGTCTGAGGCTCACCTTCACTGTGTGGAAGCTCGTCCGTCGAAAGAACTGCTTCCTGACTCTCAAGCTTTTCATGTTGGCCCCGAGCTGACGATTCCGTAGGTGACTTGGCTTGCTCGTTGCGCGGGACTCTACGACTGGATGAGCTGCCAGTGTGTGATGAGCGCTCCTCAGACGTAGTCGTGTCGGTCGAAGACGGCCGCTTTACCCACCAGGCGGTCTCAGCCTTTTCTAGAGATCTTAGCAGTTTTTCCTCTGTGGTCTCTCGGCTGCGCAAAAAGGCATGACGCTGCTCCGTTGCGGAGGCCGACGGAGCAGATGTCGAATTGGAAGAAGTTGGTGTGATGCGACCAGGTCGTGTCGGCAAAGGTGATGTGGAAGGCAGAGGCTCGAGCTGAGATCGCGTCCAACGGAGGTCTTTAGTCGTTGGCTGAGCGCGACGGTCGAATTCGTCCTGACGCGTACGATCCTGTTGAAGCCAGTCAGCAATACTTTTTCGTTCCTTCCACTGGGTGAGCCGGTCGATTTCTGCGGGAGAGGCTGGGGGCTGATTAGGCTCTGTGTTGTTGTTACCGGTGGGTGAACCATCGGCCGTGTCTTTATCGCTGCTGGTAGAAGATGGCACCAGGGTTTCCTCAGAACCAGCAGCGGACTGCTGCCTGAAGGGTCCCTCTTCGACTCGCCTCGGGTTTGGCTGGGGAACAGCATAGTCATCATACTCGGAGCTGTGCAGCGTCTCAGCTGACTGCTTCTTCCTGGGAGGCGGCACAGGCGCACCATTGTTGGAACGAGGGTACTGACCAGTCGGAAGTTGAGCCACTGGCTCAGAAAGCCGGCTCGGTAGGGTGTGTGCGCGGTCTGGTGGACGAGACCGCCGACGTGAAGCCAGACTCTCTGTTTCCTCTTTGGGCAGGATCAAAGCAGCATAAGGATTCTTTCTCCCCGGCTGGCTCAATTGCTGAGGACCATGACGAGACTCAGACTGTCTGGGAAGAGTCTCTCGCCTTGTGGTGGAGCGCTTGACTGGGAGACTCGGCGGATTACCTGCCGTTTCCCGAGACATGGTCGGGAAAGAGCTGATGCTGGCTGGACGTTCCGAACGTTTGGGCGGGTAGGTGAACATATTAGCCAATCGACGACGGCCCTCGGGAGTCTGCAACGCCGAGTATTCGCTAGCTGATAGCGAACTGTCTTGCTGGGAGCTCAGGCTGTCGTTGCCCGGTGATCTCGCCCTCCCTTGCCCGCCATGCATTGCATACGGTCTACCGTCCGGACCTAGCGAAAACTGAGGGGTCCCAGACCGACCGACTGAGGACTGTTGATGTGGTGGTAAGGACCGAAGTGTGCTCTGGGATGAGGCGTAAATGGGCTCACGTTGTGCAGTGCGCGGGGTGTTCCTCGGTGTTGACTTGTCTTGCTCGCTCGTAGGGACGTCGGGGTACGTGCTTCCATTCGGGCTTTGTGGAGACCGCAAACTAGGGAAGTTACTTTCCAAGGATCTTGGCAATGGTGCAGGCTTTCGATTGGCCTGGGGCTTCCCTGTTCGTAGTGGCACGGGTTCTCCACCAGCCAATGGAGCCCGAGCTCTTCCTGCAGAAGGGTGGTTGCTGCCCAGTCGTAGACTGGCGGAACGTCGGAATGGTTCCAACGACTGAACTGACCGACTGGCGGGATCGACCTCAAGGGTCCTACGCCTGCTAACTCGCCGTTGAGGTCGTGCTTGATTCGACTGAGGATGCTGCAGTGGGGCTTGCTCTATTGACATCACTTTTGTCTCCTGGGGGTCCAGCTCTCTTGCCTCTTTCGTCGTGCGGTCCGCCTCCCTCGCGGCCGCTCTAGCTGCTGCTGGGTTCTCGTATAACTCTGCTTCCCTTGCTAGCCTAATCGCGCGCTCCTCCTCTCTGGCCGCCTCTCTTGCCGCCGCCGGGTTCTCGTAAAGTGGCGAATCGCGTGATGGCTGGAACCCGCGGCTCTCGGATCTGGAGCGCCGGGTCGCCGGCATTGAACCGGTGCGGACGATCTGGGCCGGAGGCGCGCGGCGCGGTCGCCGAGCGCTCTGTGTTCGGCTTGGGTGATGGGTAGGGTGCAGTGTCGACTCCTGGTTTGGGGAAGGGCTGGACTGTACCATGGCAGGTGGACGTCGATCCGAGCCGGCCTGTCGCCGCATGCTTCCATGGGTGACCTTAGCATCTCCCTCATATGCTGGACTCCGCACATGGCGCTCATAGAGCCCGGGACCTCGGTGGGCAGGCGACTGAGCCGCACCGCGAGCAACCGCTCCCGCCCTCGCCAACGCCGCTGTTTCTTCGGCAGCCTGAAGGTTTTCCCAGTCGTGCTGACTAGCGAGCCTCTTACGAACTCCTTCCCGGTCACGGCACCACTCGAGGAAGCGGATCATCTCATCGCCGCTAGAGGCTAGTCTTCGCTCAGGTCGGAATTTGTGCGGTACGGCAGCATTTAGTTGACGCGAGAAGTTTGTCATCAGGAGTGTGCCGAAGGTGGTGACTTCTGGTAAGGTCGGTACTCGAAGCTGAGGATCGAGAACGTCTTTCTGTCTTGCTCGGGCCGCGTACGCAAGTCTCTCGGCTTGTAGGTAGGTTTGAATTCGGAACTTCTCCTTGTCCATCTCTCTATCCCAGTGCATAGAGCCGCTGCCGCGCAGGGCGGACAGCGCCGTTCCAGCTGGCGGCAACAAGGTCGCCCAGCGACTGTGACTAGTTACTATCATCGAGTGCGGTACCGGCGCCAGGAGGACCTCGGCCATTTCGAGGACGGCGAACAGCCCGAGTCGGTCGGTGGCGTCGGCGGTGAACACGCGCTCGAAGCGCAGGTCCGCGAGCAGCTCGTCCAGCTTGGATAGCGAGGAGAACTGCACCAGCCGCACGCTGAGCTGGCCGGCGATAGCGCGCGCCTCGGCGGCCTCGGCGCCGTCCTCGGCCAGCATCCGACATCCCTCGAGCGGGTCGGCGTCGGCGCCCAGCGCACGCTGCACCTCGGCGCGGTCCCAGTCGGCGAGCGGGCCGGCCGGCACCGGCGCCGGAGCCAGCACCGTGTCCGCTCCGGCGGCGTGCTCCAGCCACGCCGGCGGGTTGGAGCCCAGCCGCAGGTCCGAGAAGGCCTCGCGGTGCCGCGACTCCCGCGGGTTCAGCGCCAGCAGGGTGACGTTGGCACAGTCGGCGGCCGCGCGTCGCTGGCGGTCCCCTATCAGCGTGCCGTGACCGAGCAGGAAGTCTCTGGCGGAGCGCTGCTGTCCCTCGGGCAGCGCCCCCAGGTAGCGCTCCAGTTTGGCGGCGGTCTCCGGCTCGGCCATGGCGGCGTCTCGGCAGCGCTCCATGCGCGCCAGACAGCCGGCGTCCTGCATGGCGTGCAGCCAGGCGCGCCACACCTCCTGCCAGTGGGAGAGCGCGGCGCGGCCGATTCGCACCCAGGGTACCAGCTGCAGCAGCTGGGTGTAGGTGGCCGTCACCAGCTGCTCCAGCGCCGCCTGCAGCAAGCGCGCGTGCTCGGCGCTTAGTCGTAGCGAGTACATCACCTGGACGATGGCCTCCGGTCTGGCTTCGCGCGCCAGCAGGTAGAGCAGCAGGTAGGCGCGCGCCAGCTGGTGGCCGCTGTCGGAGGCCAGCGTGGCCAGCAGCGGGCGCCGGCTCTCCGACACCTCCGCCGCCGTGCGCAGCAGGTGCGGCAGCTGCGCCGACAGCTGCAGCACCTGGCACGGCTCCTCGCCACGCTGGTCCGTGTTCCTACCGGCGACAGCGGACAGCGGACGCGGACGATTAGATAGGCGTGTTGGTGAGAACGAAATCAAGTGCTGATAGTTTGACGGACGTGGTCCGTGCTGATATGATCGCTCTGCCTGTCGCGGAAGGCTTTATCGCTGCCACTCGTTACTGCCTTTCGTATTTATCATTTTAGTAACTATTAGTCCCAACAACAAAGGTACTCGTGGGTATAGATTAGAGGTCAAGCAAAGGGGTCATTTTTGCGCTGAAGCCTGAAAAATTGAATGACCGAGTTGCGCAATGACCGACGCAATGCCTAAAAAGACCGAAGATGGAAGGAACATTGTGAAAAAGTCACTCGTGCTACAACAGAACTTTTGAGCTAGATCGCACACCGGTTATCCTGCCAGCGTCAGCGGCCCACCTGAGCAGGTTGAGGGCGTGCACGCCGTCGCCGAAGTAGACTGGCAGTCGGAAGGGCTCGGCGTCGTGGCTGAGCCGGTTGGCCAGGCGCAGCACGGCGTCGCGGCCGGCCAGGCAGGCGGGCAGGTGGCGCCGGCCGTCCAGCTCGCCGCACTCTCGGCTGCAGTAGCCGGCCAGGTGGCAGCGGGCGCAGCGCGACAGCTCGCGCGACATGCGGCCGCAGTAGGCGCACGGCAACTCGGTGCTGGCCGCCTCGTCACACTCGCTCTGTCGGCGCACAGACGGACATACCCGCAGGGTGACACGGCCGCACAGAAAACCTCAGTGAACTGTCCTGACAATCTCCGAAATGATGCGTGTTCTGTAACAGAGCACGCAGGCTACTTCCATGTACCTTCCTACCTTCCTTCCATGTATAAGTGCAGCGACGAGACGTGACTGCTCCTGAGAAGGCTGATGTCACCAATTTCACTTGCGCATTCTACATCAGTCACAGCAAGATTCCATGAGTAGTTTCAACATCAGAGCTATCAGCGGGCCATCTATCAGTTTGAGACGTGAGACACTGACCTGCAACACAGTCCTGTATTAAATGAAATCCTGTTATTATGTGAAACACACCCAGCCTCTGAGTTACTGGAAGGGATGGACGAAGCTGCACTGGTTCTGTGCATCGGCTCACTGCAGGTTAAGGCAACAACAACAAGGACAGCAGCAGCAGCAACTCACCAGGTGCGAGGCTCGGTCGTCTTGGAGACAGGTGTTGGAGCAGTAGAGCGCCAGATGGCACATGGGACACATGCCCTGCGCCGGCTCCCCGCAGCGCCAGCAGCATCCCGGCTCCGAGTCCATGGTGGCGAGCCACGCCCCGTCACCGTCACCGCCTCCTACCCCGGCACACTGCTCTGAGCGCCGTCACGGCACGGCCACTCCGTCCATTTCAATCGGGTCGGCTCCTCCCCTCCAGCCGCTCTTCTCTCGCCTCACCGCTGATGTTGTCCCTTCAATCAGGTATCACTGTCTGCCACAGCCTCAGCCACTGTCTCTGTCGGATCGGTAGCTCCGTCACTCGCTGGGCGCGGCAGCTCCGTCACTCGTGGGGCGCGGCCGCCTGTGTCGCCGTTTCGGCGCTCCGCAGTACGCGGCGTCCACCGATAGCAGGGCGCCACCCTTGATAACAGCGCTATCAAGCAACGTAACGGTTCAAAGGCCCAGATATCGGAGCCTGCCGGCCGGGCGAGCAGCTACGGATTGGTCTCACTCGAAAGAAGAAGTGGTTTAGCATGAATTATTTCGCTCAAAACGAGGCTTTGGATGCAGATACTGAGCTGGCTTCAACGGAAAAGGCTTTCCGATGTTATCGATGAATTTGATTGTTATGAAGAGTGGAGGAGTTAATTCACATGCCCCAAAATTGAGTTTCTAGCATTGCATGTTTTGCCCACTTTGCTGCAATTATGTACATACTTTTTAAGAGCATTTTCTATCTTCAATTAGCTATTTACACTTACGATTTGACTTGTAAAGTTAAAATCTTAATGGATTCGGGGTACTATTGGCCAAAGAAAATATGAAAGTACGTCTACTTTAATGGGACCACTCACACTGGATTAGATACCTACTTGCTTGGTGATGGCGTTCGTGGCATTGTGTGAGTCACATTTGGCAGTAGATGTAACTGGTCACAAACGAAATGTGTGCTCAACGTTCAGCTTGTATGCATGACCAGACGTCATTAGCGACAGGGGAAAGTAGGTAGAAAGTATTCCTGAATAAACAACGATTTTGTTATTGCTGCTATGGAAATAGCTCTTCTGTCAGACACAGACATGTCACTTGAATAGTAAAGACATGTAGGCAACTAACGTGAAGTGCCAACGGTATGAACTGACAAACGATGTCCAACACCGTTATGTAAGGTTGCTGGTAATGTAACCCAACTGATAAAACCAATAATCTCCGCTTACCACCCATATGTCGTGTTTCGTGGTTCCAGGTGGATGGCTTGCGGTAAACGGTAAAAAATAAGAAACGAGAATATAATGAAGCTCTAATGAAAATGCACCTCAAATGATATTCAGCGAAAGTCCGTTATCATCGGCCATCATTCGGAAGCAACCCTTACCATCTTCACGCTCCCTCATCATGCATGTCAATGGTGCTCGCATGGTTGATGGTCCGTGGCTTCCCCAAAAATGTGTATGTCTGTTGATATTCGTAAACAGTTTCCATGGATGTCCTTGCCAGCCAGACGCTGAACTGGACTGGAGGCGGCGGCCGAAGCCGGCACCAGCAGTCAGCACTGCGTTTCTTAGGAATGACCCGAAGATACCGTAGAAATTCGTACAGCTTTCAACGAAACAATTATTTGATGAGATTGACATTTGATTCGCACATTAAGCTTGATGGATCGCAAGGCGGGCTCGGTGGTTAGCCTAAATGGGTGTGCGGTGTGCCCCTCACCTACTTATGTGTCTTATGGTAGTACCGACAGACATGCAAGAGAAATGCGAGTTATGAAATAATTATTAGGAATAAGTTCTTGAACTGCAATAGTGCACCTTACATAATTACATATTTTTTTATTTAAAAACAGCATTATCAATCTTTTAAGCGAAACGGTACCACATTCAATCTGAGACTCGCCCTGCTTATCGGCACAGAGCTGTCCAAAATGCCCTCCTCACGGCGCCGAGCCCTCGCCGCTCGTTCCCAGCGGCTCAGGGGCGCAGCATCACGCCCGATTGTGCCGGGACGGGCGGGGGCGCGCCCTGGACCGCCACAGACCGGCGCCGGCTCCGCTGGCACCGACCGTCGGCCACGGAGATCTGGCGGCACCGCTGCACGAACGGCCCGCTCGCCTCCCCACCCTCGAACTCACGCCGGATTACCGCGCGGTTTGATGTCGGCCGCCGCGCGTGCAGCGGAGCTCTTCGGCCCGTGCAGAACGGAGTGATTGAGTCCCAGACTTTCAGCAAGATCGGCTCAGCAGCTGCTCAGCATCACCGGCTCAGCAGCGGTTCAGCATCAACGGCTCAGCAGCGAGGTCTTTGATGCGGCAGAATCACTCAGCAGCGGCGGCTCAGGAGCGGCTCAGCAGCTCGACGTCGGCTCAGCGGTGGCATCTCTGAGGTAGCCGGTAGCGACTCAACATCAGCTCAGCAGCGGCAGCTCGGGTCGGCTCAGCGGCGGCAGGTCGGAGGCAGGGACTCGGCGGGAGTGGCCCGGAGTCCGGAGACGGGGACTCGGCCCCGTCGGCAGCCGTGTCTGCGGTGGACCCGCCGGGAGCTGATGACAGCTATGAGGACTTGCGGTCTCTGATCCCTGTGAGAATATGCAGGAGGCTGCGTGGCCTCGCCACTGTGTGAGCTGGGAGAGCCGGCATGCTCTGCGGATATTGTCGTTTCTAAGGAAACAAACCGACTCAATCGTGAAATCGCATGTAACTAGGTACTTGCATGACACAGCGGTCAGTTTAAGTGGATTTCGTGGACCATTAGCATTATCCCGCCCCGCACTGATCGTGATTTGTCAGTCCATTTCTGCGTTCTGCAGAAAACTGTTAAATGGGCGTCATCAAAAGCCTTTTTCAGGCGAAGCCATGAACCCTTTGGACTCCCCAACTCCCAGGCTGTACTCTAACTCATTACTGTATGACTACCTGTATGAAGTACTATACCAGTATAACGCCTTATGGGGCGACTAACGGAGCGAGCGAGAGGGTGGGCCTTGCACGTGCGAAATTGCGAGGGGGTACCTCCAACTGACTTGTGTACGGCACCCTACTAACCGGTCTCTAGCGATTTGCCAAATTTGAGCACAATCGGCCCAGCCGTTCTCGAGATCTGGGAGCGGCACCCTGCACGTGCGCACGTGCAAAATGGGTCCCGACTGGCTTTTGCACGGCACCCTACTAACCGGTCCCTAACTGTGTACCAAATTTGAGCGCAATCGGTCCAGCCGTTCTCGAGATCTGGAAACGACCCCTGCACGTGCGCACGTGCAGCAGCACCCCAACTCTGGCACATGGATATGCAGTGCCTAGTGGGTGCCTACCTACATGCCAACTTTCAGCGCAATCGGCCAAGTAGTTACCGAAATATTGCAACAATTGCAAAACTGACACCTCTTCGTTTTGCACGTGGCACGTGCATAAGGGGTCACTCACATGCATCGGGAATAGTCCAATACTTGGTAGAAGGAATGAAGCTACCCTATAAAAATTACCGCGTGTAAATCGGTCAAGTGGTTGCTGAGATATAAGCCTCGCAAAAGCGTCCGCACGGCCGGCCGGCCGGCCGGCCGGCCGCTCATACTAAGAAATTTCCGTTATTCTACGTAAGACTCCGCTCGCTTCGCTCGCTCCGTAATGATACATATTCATATTTATTTCTTATTTAAAAAGCTCAAAGCATTGAGAATCTCTCCACAACAAATTTATTAGAGCTCCAGCACGCGGCTCGAAGCACGGATTGGTTACGGAGCGAGCGAAGCGAGCGTAGTCTTTCCTTAGATTAACGGAAATTTCTGAGTATGAGCGGCCGGCCGGCCGGCCGTACGGACGCTTTTGCGAGGCTTATATCTCAGCAACCACTTGACCGATTTACACGCGGTAATTTTTGTAGGGTAGCTTCATTCCTTCTACCAAGTATTGGACTATTCCCGATGCATGTGGGTGACCCCTTATGCACGTGCCACGTGCAAAACGAAGAGGTGTCAGTTTTGTAATTGTTGCAATATCTCGGTAACTACTTGGCCGATTGCGCTGAAAGTTGGCATTTAGGTACTAGGTAGGCACCCACTAGGCAATGCGTATCCATGTGCCAGAGTTGGGGTGCACCCCAGCAGCATGCTGCTGCACATGCGCACGTGCAGGGGTCGTTTCCAGATCTCGAGAACGGCTGGACCGATGGCGCTCAGATTTGGTACACAGTTAGGGACCAGTTAGTAGGGTGCCGTGCAAAAGTCAGTCGGGACCCATTTTGCACGTGCGCACGTGCGCGTGCCGCTTCCAGATCTCGAGAACGGCTGGGCCGATTGTGCTAAAATTTGGCACATCGCTAGAGACCGGTTAGTAGGGTGCCGTGCACAAGTCAGTAGGAGGTACCCCCTCGCAAGTTCGCACGTGCAAGGCCCACCCTCTCGCTCGCTCCGTTAGTCGCCCCAAAAGGCGTTATACTGGTAAACTATAAACGACACAGTTAATAACATTGATGAATGAATGAACAAGCTAAAACCCTTTTTTATTTCGGAAGCCTGTCAAAATGCCACAGTGCAGTAATAGTACATAACACGCATTTTTTACAACAGACTAATAATAATAGTTCAAAATAAATCATCACTACCTCATGCCCGTTTCAGCGGCTGTGCAGTTATTCAGCTGGACTGGTTTCGTTAATCGTTATTTATGGTACATTCGACTAGACTGAAACACTAATTGACGTCCTTTCTAGAAAACTGTCAGATTTCATAAGTATGTTGATCACTATCATTGCAAAAGAACAACTTTACCGAATGGAACAGTGGGAAATTCGATTTGTAGGCAATTGGTGATAATCGTTATTACCTCTTTATCAGTGACTTCAAATAAATAACTAGACAGCGCTCAACTCACGTTTTGCAAAATTGTATTGGTACATCCAGAACATTCTGTAAATATACCTATAATATACAGGTGTGGCCTGTGGGCATACAAATCAGCCAGGGAAATGACCTTAATGAAAGTCAATGCCAGCAAAATACTAAAACGGGTTGATAACACTACCCTGTTATTTGTTATTGTGTGTATGGTTTTACCCTTAAATTCACCATTTTATCTCTGATTTGAAATCAGTTTTTAAGAGCAAAGGAAAAAGTCGTAAACAAATATATTTATTTATATTTGTATATAGTATATAGTACATTAAGTGAAACACATGTAGCCATAAACGGTTTTTGATCCCAATAATCCAAATAATCGATTAGTTCTCTTCTGGATATCGCTGAAGTTCCCAATGTAGCTGCTAATAATACGTAAGTCTCAGACCCGCTAGCTGTCAATGATAATTCATGGATCATACTGTAGTGTGGCGTGCCACTGTTGCCGACATCAGACGGGTGCCAGTCCGGCTGCTACACA